GGAGACTACATCCAATGATACTAGTATGTATCCTTTTGGTAATTTTATTTCCCTTATAAAGTCCGCAAACTCAAAAGAATTTTTGATGGAAAAAACAAGTTKRCTTRATAYAGATTTTGTTAGTGTCTGATGTATAAATTTTGCTATTTTATAGCACGGTTGGCGTTAATGTATCAATCCATTTATGAATACATCTATTAATGTCTATTTGTGTATATATATATATAATTGTAATTATATATATATATATGTTATCGTGGAAGACCGAAATTGAAGAATGTCAAGATTTTTACATGGTAAATGTCAACACATATCAAATACTACATAGGTGATAATTCAATATACACCTTATGATTATCCTCCTATTATCAGAAATCTTTTAAAAGTATTCAGTGTCAGATATGACAATTTCATATTTTTTCCAAATTATTCCATTAATATTAGATAAAACTGTAACAATAATATACACACAAAACTAGTACGATTTCTTGTGCCTTTTCTTGACATTCTCCAATTTTGATCTTTCACATTAAATATACAATATATAATATAATAGAAAAATTGTAATATCATAAGTATATATGTAAAAGTACGTAATATTGGTAAAGACGAAAAAGGAAATATCATAGTTAGAAAAAGGTAAACGAGTAATAGAAAAAAAAAATAGAAAAAGAAAGGGCTGGCTATAGGAGTCAGAAAGAAATAGAAAGAAAGAGTGAGAGAGAGAGAGAGAGAGAGAGAGCAATAGGCTGCATTATACGGCTTGGTAAATATTTGACGATTAGCTTAGTTACACCGTGCGAGCGAACTGCAACTGCATTAACAGTTACGTAACTATTATCCAAGCAACTATGGAATTACGGCCAAAAGCAGACAAGAGAATGAGAGAGAGAGAAAGAGAGACAGAGAGAGAGAGAGAGAGAGAGACAGAGAGAGAGAGAGGGAGAGAGGGAGAGAATGAACGTGAGTTTACTTGAGTCTATGTGTTTTAAAGAGAAAGAGAGAGAGAGAGAGAGAGAGAGATCTCACAAACTCTAATGTACTCTCCACGGTTAGTGTAAATTACTTCGTGCGAAACGTAACGATACAACTCGACGGGAACGAATAGAAGAGGAGCTACGATTATCCAAAGGAGAGTCTCTTGATGAATCCTTCGTTAAGCAAAATAAGTGGCTGGCAATTAATAGAACCTATATATGTATATGTATATTATTTGTATGTATGTGGGTGGATATGTGTGTTTGTGCCGCGAACGAATAATATTATAAATATGCATGTTTAAGATAAGCCCAGTTGATTTTAAAAGCTTCATACACTTTTTTTAATCGTCTATCTAAATATAAAATACATATTCCCACCTCCTATTGGTGCGAATCGTTTTCAAATGTTTAAACAAAGTGAAAGTTTGTCGTTATTACATAACGCGTTAG